GATGCATAGGCATTTTTCCCCCCTCCAGTAGTTCAAGTATCCTAGAACGATGCAGGGTTTTACATGAATGTTACGCTTATTTTTCATTTTCAAAGTAAATGTCGAGAGTCTTTGCTCAGATAAATAATTGGTGAGACCAAAAAGAGTTTTGCTACAGTCATATCACTCAAAACTTGAGCTTTTGAGCTCAAAAGTGCTCTATTATTGGAAATTATTTTGCATATAAATGGAGGAAGGCGCATCAACAGCCTGCGATATGCAGCTGACACAATCTTGCAGAGAAGGAAGAAGATTTGGAGCACTTACTGATGAAGCTCAAAGATGAAACCTTCAGTATGGATCACAGCACAACATAAAGGGAACAAAAATCCTCACAACTGAACAAATAAACAACATCATGAAAAGTGGAGGACAGATTGAAGTTGTCAAATATTTTACTTGAATCCACGTTCAGCACCATGGAAGCAGCGTATTCCATGTATTGAATGCATTTTAATGTAATCCATTTATTACATTTGGCAAGTCTGCTGTCAAGAATTGCTTTAAAGTGCTAAAGAGCAAGGATGTCAGTGTAAAGACTAAGATGTGCCTGACTCAAGGTATGGCATTTTCCATTTCTTCCCATACCTGTGGAAGTTGGCCAGTCAATAAGAAAGAAGAATTGATGCTTTTAAATTATGGGGTTGGCTACGAGTATTGAATATACCATGCAAAAGAACAAATAAAGCTTTTTTTAAGCATTGGGTGTTGGCATGGCAGAGATTGTGAAGATGGCACAGAATCGAGGTGAGTTTCATTCCTTTGCACATAAGGCTGCTGTGAGTTGGAGCTGAGCCACTAGCACCAGACAACAGCATTGCACAGGCAATTTGATTAGATTCTTCAATAAAGTTGTTGCAAGTAAATAATTAGAATCCATGGAAATGTAAAAATCATTTTGACCCAGTTTTCCACATTCTTGACACGTTAATATTTCAAATTGCCCCTTTATTGGGCATTTCCAAAACTTGTTACACACCAGAAAAAAATCAGAACAGGCAAGAGCTGGCTTTCCCTCTGTGAAGAGGAAAATGAGTGATTATGGGAGAAGGATAAGAAAGCCTTTAAGCGGACAGGTTCTCCAAGGCTGAGGAGAGGTAGGGAAACCAAGCAATCGAGTCCCTTAAAACGATGTACTCTGTACACCACTTAGAAAACTCCCATACACCTTGAGACAGGACCAGGACTCAAATGAAGGAAGGTAAGCAAGTGAACCACTCACATGGGGACACAGAATTTACAAAAGCAACAGGTGTGGAGTCAGTTCTAATTCATAGTAATTCCTTGAGTTATTGAGTTGGGACTTTAATGATTGGTTTTCTTGGAGATCATTCACCAGATCTTTTTCCCAAGGCACCACTGGATGGGCTCAAACCTTTACCCTCTTGGCGAACCACAGAGCATGTTATTCTTTGCAGTATCCAGAAACTACGTAAAATGTAAAGGGGTGCCAATGGAATACTATGCAGCACACAGGAGCAACGATTTTGTAAATCACTACCTAACGTGGGAGGGACTGGAGAGCATTATGCTAAGCTAACTAACTCAGTACCAAAAGGACAAATACTGTATAATGACAAATACTCATTATTGTAGAATGAGTATGAAGATACAAGGGAGAAGAGAGTGGGAGCAGAGGGGTGAGGATGGGCAGGAGGTGGGGAGTGGTTAATTAGTCGCACAATTTGATGGGTGGAAGAGGGAGGTGAAGGGAATGGGAAAGATCCTGTATGAAAAACAATATATATGAACTTTGTTAATAAACCAGTATTTAAAAAAAATTGTAAAGAAGTGCCAAAATGCTCAGTAGTTAACCTTTGAATATTTTTTAAAAACTTAAATAGATACGTAATTAATCGTGATGAGTAAATTATCAAAAAGACAAGATCTAACTAAGGCATATTTAGTTTGAAGCCTCAACTGAGTATTGACTAAGAAAACCAGGTAACGATTCTCTTGCCTACACTGCCACCTGCTGTTGGTACGTGGACAATGCTCTCTCCCTGACCAAAGGATGCCATAGCAACAGCCCCTGCACACCATCCAAGTTCATGCACCAAGGAATGCGTGTCCTCTTGTAAGCACCCACCCACTTGTGGGCAGCCACCCCACTGCAGAAATTTAAAAACCCCTGACTACCTCTGTTCTGAAGCTAGGACATGATGCTGGGAAGGGTGTAAGGTCGACGAAGGAGAGGAAGACCCTCCACTAGGTGGCTTGACAAGGTGACTGCTGCAATAGGTTCTTGTGTGTCAGGAACTGTGAGGATGGCACAGGACAGAACGGGGTTCCGATTCTTTTCTTCACAGGGTCTCTGTGAGTTGTACTTGACTCGACAGCACCTAACAACAACCTCCACATCTGTCCTGACAATAATTAAGGATGATAGAAGAACCATTGCCTTTGAATTGTGGTGCTGGAGAAGATTCCCAAAAGAACAAACAAGTCTGTCCTGGAAAAAGTGAAGCCAGGGTGCTTCCTTGAGGCAAGAATGGCAGAACTCTATCTCATTCTTAAAGGACATCATTCTTGGAAGTGTGGAGGATCAGCATAAGAGAGAAAGCTCCTCAACATAATGGGTTAGCTGTCTATAATAACTGGACTGAGATGTGTCAGAGGTGGTGAGAATGGCACAGGAAAGCACAAGGTTCAGAGCTGTTGTTCCTAGGGTCACTGTGAGTGATAAGTCAACTTGACGGGATATAGCAACAACTTCTATCTTGCAGGAGAAAGATGGGCAATCCCCTCCCATGCAATTTAATTTAACCTCTGAAAACCCACTGAAGAGTCAGCTCCAACTTGGCACATAACAAACCTGTATCCTGCAAAACTCTGGCATTTCATTGGCTTTACAACCTGGAACAAATGGCATCGTTTTTTTGGACCTCAGTTTCTCCACCCATCCTGGTGGTCCTCATTACCTCCTCCCATAACAGCTGACTTAACACACTTTCCGCGACTCTTGATAGGCAGCCTATCTGGCACCAAGTGTGCACACAGGTACAGTGTGCCTCCTCCAGCCCAGCCCAGCTCAGCTCTGTCAATCAAATCTTTAATTTATTACTGAAAATAAGATAAAGACAGCTAAAAAGGAACTAAAGTTTTGGAGAAGTCCAGTGACAAATGATGTTTGGGACTGATGGCACAAGACAACTTCCCTGAGAAGTGGGGAAGGGGTGGCTGGCTGGACTAGGTCACTGCCAGGAGCTGGCCAATAGCCGCTGGTAATCACCAGGCAACATCTCTGATGATTTAGTTCTGGAAAATTCAAGTAACATAAATTAAGCATCACAATGGTGGTGACAACAGCAGGATGCTTTGAACCAGCCTAGGCTAGATTCTTACTGTGCTGCTCCTTAACGGTCTGAAAGAGAAGCCACTTGGCTTCCCTTAGCCTGGACTTTGCGGTTCTGTAAAATGGGGATGAACGTCAAGCACATTTTGTACTTGGGTATGGGTAAAATGGACATAACAACTCAATTTATTGCCATCAAGTTGGAATCAACTCATAGCTGACCCTCCAGTGGGTTTTTAGAAGATATAAATTGCACAGAAGGAGATTACCCATCTTTCTCCCTTTGAGCTGCTGTTGGATTCGAACCGCCTACCTTTGTGTTCTCAGGGCCACTTTTTGCCCACAAGACCACCAGAGCTCCCTGGGTGGGAATAAGATACATAAAGTGCCTTCAATTCATAGCAGCTGATCCTGCTAACACGAAGCAATGTTACCCCAGGAGCTCCCTGTGACCCTCACACTCCTGAAATGTGGGCTTTTGGCATATTTGGTTCCCGAACTGGTCCCCAGAGTGTGTTAGGAAAGAGGGGGATGCAGGTTTGCCTGAATCCCTGGGGGCAGCCTTTGCTCTCACCACCGCCCCGCCTCCACAACAGAATTCTCAGTACATCCCATAAATGGAGCCTATCGGAAAAGGGGCATAACTCGAAAGGGAAAGGGACGCCTCCCTGCAACTGAGTTTAAAAGGTGTTTCAACACACCGAAAACCCTAGAAATTTGTACAAAATCTGCCATTTAGATAACACTATTGTATCAACGCTGTTTTCCCAATTTTGACAACTCCTCTGTGCATTGCAAGAAAACGTCCTGGTCTTCAGGAACCACACGCTATACGAAGGATTGAAGGGTATAATACAAGGCCATCTTGCCTGAAATTTATTTTCTAAAGTCTCGGAAAAGAATAAAACAAAGGGAAACGTATATCATTGTTTGGGGACTCTGATGAAGGGTATACCAGAATGCTTGCATATTTTCTTTAGGTAGGGGACATTTTCTGTAAGGAACATAAATTTAAAGACCTTTCCTGGAACCTGCAGACCTGCAATGATAACCCCAAAGCGTCAGAAATTTAATTTGCAAAATAAGCTCCACCTTCACCCCCTCCTCGCCCACAACAAAGCCATGCCCCGCCCTGGCTCCGCCCCAACTTGTTCTCGGAGCCGCCTATCCCACTGCAGCCACGCCCAAGCCAGACCCGCCCCGCCTCTCCCTGGACCCGCCTACTGTCCGCCCATTCCCGGACCCACCTTTT